AAAAAATAATATAATAGAAATGAGGATCAAGAGGTCAGCAACTCATGCTAGTTTGCAAACTCAAGGTGCCAAGATTTGTAAAAAAATTCAGGTGCAAAATTCCGACCAGTGATATTTGGAGATAATGTAGACATGTGTACCAGTGATGTTGACAGAGGTCGCGGTGATCCACGAAGCGTCCTTGCAGTTGCTATGAACGTCGATGGCGCCTTCTACAAACTAGGAACAGGACACTGTGTTCTCAAACAACAGTATTAGCAGTGAGTTTTCCATTCTGCACGATAAACTGCTCACACTGGCATCCGTGGGCACAGAAAAGAAATCACTACGAACCTTCGCGTCTTCACAATCATTGACCGGCGGCCAAGGCTACACTCGATGTGTCTTCACAGTCACTGACCGGTGGCCAAGGCTACACTCGATGCAGTTGCACTAACGAGTGCTCAACAAATCATTGCCGATGTCAAAATAACAAACTGCTGTGTAATTCGGAATATCATAAAAGATCATCCTGTTGTAACAAGTGATGATAGAGATTGATAATTTACTACAATAAACTAATTTGACTGATTTGCTAATTTAGTATAATTAACAATCAATATAATGTTATAATCATTACGGTCTACAAACACCCAAAATCTGCTCATGACCCTTTTCTTCCGACTTTGGCCGACCGCCCCATGCCATTTCGCAAACTGGCCGGCCAAATCTCGAAATCAAGAAAAATATCGGACATTGGCCGGTCAATGTGAGGCGATATTGGTCATTTCCCGATTTTGCCGCCAGTTCCCACTTTCGGGTTTTGGTCGTAACTGCGGACTATTTTAATAGACCAAACAGATGATGACCAGATAGAACTTCGATGGTGAAACATAGAGATATATATAACATCCAACTGCTACGAGGTATAAGGACTAGTGAAGCAAAAACATAAAAATTGGAACTCACTCAACACAAAGATTGGCTCTCACTCAACACAAAGATTGGCTCTCACTCAACGCAAAGATTGGCTCTCACTCAACACAAAGATTGGCTCTCACTCAACACAAAGACTGGATCTCACTCAACACAAAGATTGGCTCTCACTCAACACAAAGATTGGCTCTCACTCAACGCAAAGATTGGCTCTCATTTAACGCAAAGATTGACTCTCACTCAACACAAAGATTGGCTCTCACTCAACACAAAGATTGGCTCTCACTCAACACAAAGATTGGCTCTCACTCAACACAAAGATTGGCTCTCACTCAACACAAAGACTGGATCTCACTCAACACAAAGATTGGCTCTCACTCAACACAAAGATTGGCTCTCACTCAACACAAAGATTGGCCCTCACTCAACACAAAGATTGGCTCTTACTCAACACAAAGATTTGTTCTCACTCAACACAAAGATTGGCTCTTACTCAATACAAAGATGGCTCTCACTCAACACAAAAGATTGGCTCTCACTCAACACAAAAGATTGGCTCTCACTCAATACAAAGATTGGCTCTCACTCACCACAAAGGTTGGCTCTTACTCAACACAAAGACTGGCGCTCACTCAACACAAAGATTGGCTCTTACTCAACAAAAGATTGGCTCTCACTCAACAGAAAGATTGGCTCTCACTCAACACAAAGATTGGCTCTTACTCAACACAAAGATTGGCTCTCACTCAGCACAAAGATTGGCTCTTACTCAACACAAAGATTAACTCTTACTCAAAATGTCTGATTATTTCAAAATCAATGCTCCATTTTGGAGTATAGCTGCATTCAGTGTTTCAATTGGACTATTTTATCTGGGGAGAAATTTTTCAAGCGTCCGCGGGAGGCATTATGAAGCCCAAAGCCAACACAAACTAAATTCATAACAGTTGTCGCGCGCCCCAATGTAATCATTTGGCACAAGATTAGTTTCAACCCAGTACAGTCACACTGATCGGCATGAGGGAAGTGGAGCAGAAATTCATGGTGCCAATTACTCCAGAGCAAAAACCGAGGGCAATGGCCCCTTAGAAATGTATCAACGGATGCAAGATGCGGAGATGCATTTCGGCGCGTACTTGAATTTTGTTTTTTATTTCAGACAATTTTTTGAGGGCATTCCAGAAATTTCGGTTGGGAAGCGCCAAAATAACCACCAGTGACATCTTTAACTCCACAACCACCCCTGGCCAACATGAACTAACTTCATTCCAGGTGTGGAAAAAACTTATTTTGGGTGGTTTGGGTTGGGGGTGGGACTAAAAATTTGAATGAACGTGTTGTCATTGGCAACGAGTCTGTGTGTCAAGTTTTAGCTCGATAGGTTGACAGGAAGTGGATCAATTAGCTTGTCGAATATTTTGTCAGCCAGCCACGAACAAAAGCGAAGTTAATATAAAGAATTTTTGTTAAAAAAGGAAGAAACGAAGTTCGATTTTTATCGTCCTCGTAAACTAGTCACCCTAGGCTGTGGCTCCATTCAGCCCCCTTGTACGATTGTAAATCCAGCCTTGATAGAAACGTACGCAATACTTGGTTTTAAATATATAAATGTATTTCTCTAACTTACCTGTAGCGAAGCATAAGTTAATCTTTTAAACTAACACAGCGTGAGTGTACTAGGCGAAACCAAATTTGTAATGTCTGCCGATTGTCAAGTGGTATCGCGTGTTGTTTACACGACCATTATGTTACTATTTACCAATTCAATCATAAGCTATTAAGACATTGGCGCTTCGATTAAATTAATTTGATCACGATTATGTTATTGAAACGCTCCGCTGGCGGCGCCCTATTAAAATGTGTGGATATAAAAGTTGCTGATTGCCAGGCAAAATAACTGGTTGAGCATTATACGCTTACTGGGTAAACGAGGTGTCTTAGCTAAGTCGTACTGTAAACAGTAATCAAGAAAGGGGAAGAATAGGTTCAATATTTAACAGACAGGAAACAAATACATTCTAAAATGTACCCGTAGGGCTTAAACATGAGAAAGTGTATTGTGCCATTTAAGATAACACGTAAATTGAGAAGTAATAATAACATAGTGCGTCATAGTCTAAAGAAAGGGAGTGAAGAGCTTCATATAATTGAACGCAGTTAGTCATCATAGTAATTGTCGTCATGGGAATTATTGAAAGAGGCAAGTGCCAACATGTTAAATAAAAACAAAAAAAACAACAAAAAAACAATTCAATAAAGTTAGGATGTCGATGAAGAGTGCATCAGTTTGCGTATGGGACCATCCAAAGAATTTTTATCTCGAGGGACGACATTTAGAGATTGTGTTATATCGGGGTGGGGTTCGTGTAATTTTAGAAACAATCTACTGTTCATCTATTATTCCTGTATTCAATCAATTAAAAATGGAGACATCTTTTCATTTTCATGGTCAATGATTTGGTAGACGCTCGATAACTCTGATGGGGAAATGTGGGATATTTTTGGAAAGTAATATTAATATTGAGGTTTAATCAGGTGTGTTAAAAATATTCTGTAATAAAAATTGTTTTAAAAATGAAAGGGGAGAAACGTGTGAGATACAAAATAAAAAGGATGAGACGATGTAACTGTAAAAAAACTTCACGAAAAGGGGGAGGTTTGGAAAGAACCCAAAATAATGTATGGTCAAGCAAAGAAGTCTTAGTATAATGCTTAGGTAGTGGGAGCAATGCATGATTAAAATTAGTGGTAAACAATGTATCTATACATAGCCTACAATGTTTTGTGCTTACTCGAATTTCATTTTGTACTTACTTTCTGATGTTAATGTTATACAAGAAATTTTAAGTCGAATTGACGATATTTTATATATATATATATATATATATATATATATATATATATATATATATANTATTATATATACATTTAAGATCCCAAATTTACGGCAGAAGCTTGAAAAAAAAAATCACTTTAATTGGAGCGGCCAAGTTGATCTTTATAATATATTTAAACATAAGGCACGTAGATTTAATGAGATTAATGTCACTGAATTAATGAGTTGGATACAGTTGGTATGTATCACATGTAAACTCTTTTCATCTTTTATAGATCGTGTTCCAAAATTAAGGAACGAAATTTGCAATTGCCTCCATTTTTAGAATGAATGGATTAGCGTCTAAAAAACAATGAAAACGTAATAAAATAGTGCACACATCGGTGACATTACAAATAAGTATGTTTCAAATTGTTAATAGTCATGTGTAGGGCAAGCAAAGCTGTAACCGGAGTGAAGTCTGAATTCATGCGCGCTCGTCCCAAAAATTATATATTAATTCACATATTTTGCATGAAAAATTACGATGTTGGCAGTTGGCGCCTTGTGCAGATGGCTTCCGGGGCGAGTGGCCCCATCACCCCAACCTTTGCACGTCCTTGGTATCACCAATAAGATAAAAGAATATAATTCACTTGTGTCAACATATGTAGGAATTGACTGGTGTATTCCATTCAATGATAAGTTTTCAATAATTCAATTTGCAAAAAACGAAAGATCATAATATATTTGGCTAAAAGGATTAAATTGGCTGCTGATCTGACGCCGCTTTAAAATGTGTGTGAATGGATTGGCAAGTGAATAATGAAGCATTGTTGTTTTGCAGTGTTTGTTTTAAGAAGTAAATAATTTGCATTGCATCTATTATTTTAATACGTGATTCAGAGAACCCCATGTGCCAAGTTGCAACCGCTACCGAATCCACCGCTGACTCGGGTTATATTTCAACTTATAACAAAAATAAAATAAACATTCATCTCCTTATTATTATTTAAAGGCAATAAAATATTTAAGCAAATTCATTTAAAGTAATTTTGCTGATCGTCAAGTTACAGTGAATTTCGTACATTTATATAAAAAAAAAAAAAACATCTTAAATAACACAGCCAATTTTTTCAAAGCCTCCTTTTGCTTTGAAAGAAGCATATTTTAAAGGGAAATGATAATGGAGATAACAACACACGTTTCTGTGTTGACAGACCAAATACGTTTCGCAGAGTCGATCACTGGAAACGGTGTGGCGTGGATGATGGTGGTCGTTAACAACCTGGTCATCTGCAACACTCTCTCAGTGTTCGGGATCGCGACCAACGGCATCAACATGGTCATCTTTCTCAAGCAGGGCCTCGACAACTCCGTGAACATCAGCCTCTTCGGCATGTCCGTCTCCGACACGCTCAGCCTCGTGACGCTCTTGTGGTACAACGTCTGCCTGAATCCGCTTTTCTTTAACGCCGGGCTGACCGTAGACCCCATTGAGCTCCAGCACCTCACGGGGTGCTACCCCCACGACTGTTTCTCGAGGATCACGTGCCTCATCACCCTGTACATCACGGCCGAACGCTGTCTGTGCATCGCCTTGCCCCTCAAAGTCAATCAGATCGTGACTCCGGCGAGAACAGCCGTGGTTGTGTGGCTTCTGTTCCTTCTTATGATCTCCCTTCTGATCCCCGAATACGCCTATCTTCGCATCGACTGGAAGTATTTCCCGCAGTTTAACAAGACGCTGATGGGGCTGGTGCCGAGAACGGAATATTCCGACATGATGGGTCTCACGGCCATCCTGTACGCCACGGTTCTGCTCGTGTCTTTCGTCGCCGTGATTTTGCTGACAATCCTTCTGATCTACAAGCTGCGAACAAAGCAAAAATGGCGGATGGAAGTGACGTCAGACGCCACACAGCAAGAGACGATCTCGCTTCGCAACAAGAAAACAATCGCCATGGTCGTGCTGATAGCCATCGTCCTCATCGTCTGCTCCACTCCAATTGTTATTGTTTACATTTGGATGTTTCTGGACGTCGAATTTTCCTTCACGGGCACCTACAGTTGGCTGTACTTTGCCATAGGGTCGTTTGCGCAAGTGTTCGAGGTACTAAATGCTAGTATCAACATAATTATGTTTTACACTATGAGTAGCAAGTATCGAGAGACTTTCTCTCAAGTTTTTGGACGCTGTGCAAAATCCACCACCCTTAATTATACAGCCTCGTGCTTTTCAAACAAAAAGCAATGAGAGGAGGGCGCCAATGGCAGTAGATTAGGTCACTTCCTGTTGATAAAAAAGTATTTATAATTTTTAGTCTTAGATTTTTTTTTTTTTTGATGTTTCATACATTTATTTTATTGAGCCAATTAAATATTGATTTTTTTTGGCCGGGGGGGGGGGGAGTTTCATACATTTATTTTATTGAGCCAATTAAATATTGATTTTTTTTGGCCGGGGGGAGGGGGAAGGGGGGGGGGGGATACGTATAGGATACGTTTCTTTGATTTATGGCAGTTATATTTGAAGCTACTGCGGCTAAATTGTGGAACAGTTTGCCTCAATCTTTGAGGGGCATTGAATATGATAAAAAGCCATTTAAGAACCATTTAAAGAATTTTTTTCTTTAATTAGATTTTAGGACATCAGGGCGCTGTGGGCATGCTAAAATAGTATGGACACAAGCCGCTATAGAAGTACGCAATCATCATCAGACCACTGTTATATTACCAGTTTGAAGCTAGAGCGGGGGGGCATTTTTCAAAACATATGTTTAAGAGGCCTACCACATGAAATTATGAAATGTATATATTAGTACTAGAAGCACACCAGAGGTGGTAAACTACTCTACTGTTAAGTCAAAGATGAAAAACCTGGGCAATGTTTTAAGTTTTACTGTCCCGTATTGAAAAATGGGCAACACTTAGGCCCTACATGTCTGCACAACCTAAGACACAACGGGGCAGCTTCCTGTCGTGACCTTTACTTTATAAAAAGATACAAAATAGAATGCGAATCTGAAAGAAATCTTTCAGAATGAATTGTCAAACGAAATGAATAAACGCTACAAGCTAAAAGTTATTTTAATGGTCGGCTACTCACCAGCGTCACCATCAGCTGACCACCTAGGGGAGGGGTGGTGCATCTTGTGACCTGTCAGATAAGATACTTTTATTGATCCAAATCAATGGAGTTTGTTTTGTTTTTTTCATTACATTTTACATAATTTTTAATATTCATTTTCAGCACATAAATAAATACATTTATTATTTTAACAAAGGCAAGATTTTACAGTTATAACAATTTAAACACGTGACATCTAAAGTATTTCTCTAGCGTAATAAAAAATCAGCAATGAATGAACTCATTTAGTGACAATAATGAATTAAGTAGTCGTCATTTGGATTAGGTAACCACTGGGGGAGCACGCTGGTGAAGTCGTACAGACTGGGGAACAATAGAAATTGTGTAAAGAATACGCCTTGATCGAACTAATCTTAGGTATCTGTGATGAAAGGTGTAGGTTACCATCCAAAATATATTTTAGTTTTACAACAGCTGTTTTCTTCGAATAGCTGTTATATTACTAGCTTTCTTGATTAGTCTACCTAATCGGTGTTTGATGTCAGATCTTTCTGTGCGCGTTTCTCGTGTGCGCGTTTGTCTAGCGCGCGAATTTCTGGTCACTGTACCGTATACGTCACAGCATAAACTTAGTGGTTGGTGACAATGCAATAAGTTGCCTGGATTCCACGCCTTTTGTTTTGGTACTGTACAGTGCATATTATTATTATTATTATTATTATTATTATTATTATTATTATTATTATTATTATTATTATTTATATTATTATACGTGGTTTTATATAGCGTAGTACCCCAGCCTAGGGCTGGGCTCACCACGCTGTACATACAATTTAAAAAACATAATAAAAATCTGAAATAATTAATTGACATACATTAATGAAATAAAACAAAACAAATGTATTTATAAAACTATTTACACCTCAAGCCATTGGCGGCACTCAGTCAAGCCATGGACGACACTCAGTCAAGCCATGGACGACACTCAGTCAAGCCATGGACGACACTCAGTCAAGCCATGGACGACACTCAGTATCATCGTTTTACGGTCAGAGGTGGGAATCAGTCAGGATAGTTTTCTTTTCTACCTCTCCTGGACGATGTCATATATTGAAAAAAAAACATGTTAACTGCCTCACTGTAAAACCTTTTGGCGCGACGAGATGGGAGTGCAGAATTGAATGTGTCAAAGCAAGTAATGACTGGGTCCGATCTTGACATAAACCAGAAACACTTGTTTATATATATAGATATAAATATATATATAAGATTGTGATTTTTAGTGATGATAAATGTCTGGTATCATATCTAAAACAGGGTAAATGTTTTCAGCAAAACTATGCAGGACAACTCTGTAGAACTATCTACTGCATTTTCACTAATGACCACTGTCACTGATTATTTAAGTAATTATCGTGCAATTGGATTTGGAAATGCACTAGAAATGCACTAGAAATGCACTAGAAATGCACTAGAAATGCACTAGGTTCAACAACATAAAATAGCTAAAGAATTGGATGTAGAGCCTATTTTTTAGAAATAAAATAATAAGAATAAGAAAGTGGCTGTTTAAATAGGAGTACACTGACAAGGTTCCAAACACAGGTGACCCCAGAAAAATAAATCACGTGTTCAATGTAATAAGACCTACTGAACAGAGTTATACATTTTTTTTCCCAGAGACATTTGAACAGTTGCAAAGTTTCAATAATACATGGGGATTTTTAAATGACCTAAAAATCTGGCAGACAAAGATAAGCTCAAAGTACCATGTCCAGGTTTGGAGAATAAGTTAAGGTATCAAGAAAATGGAGATATAAATGGATGTGATCTGTTGACTAAACTATATGCATCCAAAGAATTATTTCCTTATGAGTAAAGCGTCCAAAAGAAGCCGCCAAATTCGTAAACACTAATAAATTACTGGATGTTATGCCTATTTACGATCATCAGGTACCTTAAGACAGAGCGCATTCTTTGGCAATTTTGTCTATAGAAAATGCTATTGCAAAGAATATATAACTATAGTGTCTATTCTATAGAAAGTGCAATAAACAGATTTGCTGATCTAAAGGCTAGAAGAAGAAAAAAATGTCATCGGTAAGTTAATTGTTGATACTGCCCAAATAAAAGTTAAGAAATTGAATAATATTGTTCATTTGTCTGTTTTAAAATAAAAAACCAAGGTAATAAACTCATTATCTAACCCCTAGTTTTTCTTTGCAAAATTTTTTTATGATTATACTTGATAGGGGCGCCAAAGTTTAAGCTTGCCCGTGGCCCGTGGCGCCAGAAAGCGTAGAGCCGGCCCTGACTTGCTCTATTCTGTAATTAATAAATCTAGCAACGGTCCATGGTGCAATGAAAAACTTTTCCACCGGTCCGCGAAACATACAATTTGTGGAAGCGATGGAAGAAACTGGAAGCTCCTAACAACATTGTGTTTAAAATTAAAAATTTAATTTCAGTCATTTCAAATATTGTTCTCATTACTCTGGGAATTAAAAATACGGATTTGTAGCCTCGATTTCAAATTGTTATTTGGTTGTCAAAGATGGCGGAACGCTATTACAGTTTGCAAGATATTTGACTTTTTTTATTTGTAATTAGTGAACATTTGTTTGATCCAATTGATCTGACAATTTTTATTTAAGAAATCTGAATTCAAGTTTTTATCTTATTTAGTCAAACTTTAAAACTTGCCTGGGCATTTAACTATGGAAATGAAAGACGATTCCGAAATCTCATTATTTTCGCTCGAACTAGTTGTGGAAAAGGTCTATATACCACACACCCCATGTAGATTTCCCGCCATAGCTTTCAGGCTGTTGGACTTTCCAACAATAGTTATCAAACATGTGGAAGATGACCTGTCAAAAGCTATTCAGAGTAAAATATCTTTTGACCCTTATTATCATTTGCCTGATCAATTCATGGAATTGAAAGATAGGCATGGGAACTTTATGGTGAAAAAGGGTAAATCTTGTTTATTCAAAATATCTGCAAATAGCCTAAAGCAACACCTAGCAAGTACACCCTTGTATGTGATGGTTATTGATTTATTTCCTGAAGTACCAAAGCTTGTTGGTAACAGTTCAGTTCCACTTAATTCCCTGATGGAATCAATTTGTGTCGACATCGCCAAACTAGGATCAACTGTTCCATCAGTGCATGGAGACAAAGGCCTTTTTAAGCTTTACAACCTGATGGGAAAAGAAATTGGTTATTTTGTTCTGGGCTTCCGTTTACTTTGCCTTGGACCAAGTTTTATTGCACATCTTCCAGATACTGCACTGCTCCATCATAAACAAAAGGTACAAGAAGATCAAAATGTGGATCACATTATTACAAAGCACCAGAACTTATTGTTAGGTGATAAAACAACTGTTGATATACCTGATCGCCAACAAAAAACTACTTCTTCTATGACTGACCCCATGAAACAAGATGCTTTTCTCCAAACAGTTGAGATGAAAGATAAAGAGATCCTTGTTAATCTCTATGAAAATGGAAGTAGTGTTGTTGAAAATAAAGATGTGAAAAATGAGTCTCATAATGTAACCACACAAACTGACAAACAAAAGAGGAGAAAGGAGCATCAGCGAGCCATACCCGTACCTAAATGGGTGGAACAAATTGAACATGAAAATGATGATAATGATTTAATGATTAATAACATTGTCTGTCCACCCCCTATGTTTTACAATAGTGAAGCATCACCTGCTCTCATAGTAAAAAGGAACATTTCAAAAGTGTTGTATGATGCAGAATTACCAGCAAATGATCTCTCTGAAATAGAGAGCTTTGATGGTTATGGTCTACATACAGAAAAGTTAGCCAAAGAAAAGATTATTAACCAAAGGACTTCAAAAAGCATTCAATCAGTTAAGTTCCAACCTTCTACAATAGGCAAAGTATTAGAACCTGCTGTACCTCGAGCCAGACCAGGAGAACATGTTCTTGGTTTGCAAGTAGCTCCTAATCTGGATGCAGTATTTCCTTTATTAACAGCCCTTTTTAATGAATTGTCTTCAATACAGAATCCTAAACTTCTATTAAATGTTTCAAACAAATTACAAGCAGCTACTTTGAAATCTTCAGAACTCACCAGTTCCCCAGACAAAAAAACAGAAATTCAGCCAGAAGATAAAAAATTATCTTCATCTGTTGTTTCAGCTGTTGCTGCTGCATTGACAAGAAAACTAGAGATATCAAAAGAAAACATTCAAAGAGGCAATAGCGAACAAGTAAAAAAAGAACATTCTCCATTATTTCAGCAACATCATCAAAGTCCTTTGAAAGGCCAAAAATCAGTTGCTGATAAAGAAAACAAAAAAAATAATAAAAAGCAGAATCTGGTTCCACCTGCTGCTAAAGGCAAACTAGTATTCGGCATGACTCATACTCAAAGATTAAGGCTTCAGAAGACTAATCCCCAGTGGTTGAAATTGGCAGAGAAAGAAGCAACAGACTTGAAAGCCAAAACTCAAACCATGAAAAAAACAACCGATATTGATGACATGAATGCAACCACATTTTCAGATACACTAACTGAAGTAAGGCGTTTAGCTGAGAAAGAGTTAAACAGCACTGTTGGTGGAGATACACTGTTAAATTTAGCCAGTGAGCTAAAGTCAACAGCAGAAAAAGATAAAATTATGCAACAGAAAGGTGTACATCATAAATCAAATCCTCAAGTTACTAAGAAAGGTAGATCTGAAAAGTTCTCTGAGCATAAAATTGATCAAAATTTAATATCCAAATCACAACAGCTGAAAGCCAGAAACAGGTTAAGACAAAAAAGAAAACTACACCAGAAAGGACTTAGAAAAGAATTATCAAATGATGCTATGAATAGACAGAAATCACCTTTAGCTCAGAACACAGGTAAACTGATAAATAAATTTAAAATAATCATTTAAAATTTATTTATTTTCACATAGAACGTAACAAAATGTATTCTATTTATAATATTCTTTATACAACAAAATAAAGTTATCAAGGAAAATAATTAACAATAATAAAAATACATTTAATATTTTAGTAAATTTGAAACAGTAAGCCAAAATGTAAATGATGTTTTCATTACTTGAAATTTCAGATTATGATGATCAGTTAAGTGTGCTCAGTGATGTTCTAAGTTCAAGAAGCCGGTCAATTGAAGTTCGTCTCCCATCAGCTGAACCAGATCTTGATGACACCACTACCAGTCTGTCCGATAAAGGAGATGAAGATGATGACATTGAAGAAGAAGACATTCCCCTACCAGATGACAGCTCAAAAGAGCGTCCAAGGAGTAATATTATCAACTTCCCAAGATACGTATCCAAAGATGTGTCGCTTCCTGAATCTATTGATGGAGTTCATAATGCTTCTTTAAATATTTCAGAAACGGTTGAAAATAACTCGCCATTGGAATCAACTCGTCAGTCGAAAAGTTGTACCTCTGATCAGAATGACTCAAAGGTCTTACAGTCCACAGATTATGACACCCGTCAGTTTCATTCTACGGATGAGATAGAACTTCAGGGCTTAATCAGTGAAGAGGCGAACATTTCAGATGCCCCTGACAGTGGAAGAAGATCTGTTTCTTTGGTGGCAAACTCACAAAAATTTCCTGTTATTAATCCACAGTTGTCTGAAAACTCACCAGTCCCATCAATCAGAAGATCAACAACAAAGATTGATCCATTGGCATACAGTCATCTTCATTCTGGGTCTTTTTCTAAAGATCGCAATCAGCTTCCATCTCCCAGGCCCTCAACCCCAAAAGGTACTATTGTCAAGGGAGAGCTACCTGAAAAAGCATATTTTAAACCACAAGACAGTGGTCTCACAACACCAAAATTGAAGACCACACCAAGGTCTTTGTCTTCCAGTCCTAAACACCCCACGCCTCGCCCTCGAAGACCGATGAGAGAGTCTATCCACACAGATTCTCTGAGCTCATATATGCCCTCAGATCCAGATAATGTCATTGTGTCCTTATCCAGCAACTCTGGTAACTATTCTGATGATTTCTCAGCAATTCACAGTGGGGAAAGTGCAAACTCTTCTGCGGAACAATTTCCTAAAATTATCTCTAGTGCTAAGCTGGGATATACAATCAACTGATATAGGACCTAAGCTTTTTGACATATTAGTCTATTTATTTCTTTTAGCCTAAGGAAAGATTTTTTTTATGTACAAAAAAAAACAACTAAATTAATAACTAGCAATGTTGATTACCCAGGTATAAGATATGTTTTCCTAAGTTTTAATAGTTTTAACACCTGGAAAGAGAATTGAATTTTTTTTAAATAAATTTAATTATATTTTTTCTGGTGATTAATAAACATATCTTTCAATTTAAAAAAAAATGCAAAGAGTAAAAGCTTTTTTCCCCCTTCAACATAGATATATCACTTTATCTCAATTAGTTGGTAGTCCTGACGCAGAAAGACAAGCCATGTATCATGGAATCCAGTATTTTCTTAAATCTTTTCATGTTCCTTGAAGTACTGTAGCCTGTAGCTTACCAATTGCCTTGTTGAATATCATTATTTTATTCCTTATTTACAATTACAAGTCTGTAATATTTAATAAGTGTATGGTTCACTTCTTGTTAATAATCTATGTAACTTGTAGCCTCAAACTTAAGCTAATAATTTAAGGCAATTTCTTCCACCTTTAGTGAATATTTCACCTGTCAATTGCCCAATACAAGACTTTAATTTAAGTTTAAGTTAAATCAGATGAATATCTGGCCTTAGCTAGAACTTTGTATTTGAATGGAATTCATCATATAAATATTCATCACATAACAAATAATTTATTATTATTGAAATTGCAGGAATTTTTATTTAAGTAATGAAGATAGACTCTATGTAGAAATCATTATTATATTTTAAGAATTTTCAAACTGAGTGAAAAATTGCAGATTTTAACTTTAACAGCATACTATCTTTATAAATGTTTTTTTTTTCTCTCAAAAATCACTTTATTTTAAAGCATTAAAATATCTTCATTAGCAATACCTTTGTTTATAATGTTAATTTAATTACATGTTCTTAAAACTCAACTTATTTTAAATGGGTTTGTATTTGAGGAAGTGTTGACAAAGCAGTGAACAACTAGAGATTCTAGATTTAATGTATGAACCTCAAATATCCATTTATATTATGGATATATTGAATATATATTACCAAAATTTATTTTTTTAAAATATCTAATCATATTATTTATGATTAGAGTAAATAAAATTTTATAATATGAATGAGGACAATAAGACATGTTAACAATCGCTGTACCAGATACATTTTTGTAATGAGGCTAATGGCCAAAATCATCATTTTTTATGCAAAATATATAATTTGTCTATTTATATTTACCTTTTGGGGAAGGGGTGGAGGGTGCCTAAATTCAGGTTTTCCACTGGGTGCAGCTTTTTCTTACCACAGTTCTGATCAGTTGATGATAATACCAATGAAGGTATCTTCAACCAAACAACTGGAAATTCATTCCAGTCTGTTTCCACTCATCGCTGCGACTGATTTGAACTTTTCTTCTCTCTTATATAATGCAACATTCTAAGATCTTTGACAGGTAATTCCAGTTCCATTTTGCACCACAAACAGGGGCTTAGGCCTTGGGGCAGCAACCCATGGTTGCAAAATCGCACAAAGATCTTTGGAGGAATAGATGCAGCCCCTTTTTTTTTTTTACTAATTTAACATGCCTGCAGCCCCAAAATATTTTGATCTAATCTATAAAAATGGCCCTTTACTCAAAAAAGGTTGCCAATCCCCGCCATAGTGTGTCTAGAAAAGACAAGATTCTATAACAGTGATAATTAATGAGTCCATACCAGTGTCTTGAGACATGTCAGGTTGACAGATATTCTCATCTGGTTTCTTTTTGCATTGTACCATTTCTTTTTTCTCATTCCAAATGACCTCTTCTGGCATATGACAACCATCTAAAGACAAGTGGCCTACAGACATAAGGAGTGTCCATGGCCTTGGGGAAAAAAACGAGAACTCCATTCAAACAAAAAGCCAAGATCTCAACAGTTAATCATTCACCCTGCAAAATTATGCAACAAATGTCTTGCTACAGGCTAATTTTAAGGAACAACAAAAAACTCAAGGATTTTCAAGACTGAAAAAAATATGCATGATGAATGAAACAAATTGTAATATAAATTGTAATGGAACACTTATTTAATAAGTGAAGTAAAGCAATTTAAAATTCAAATACTTTTTACAGTTTACAGTGATCTGACTTGTTTTTTGTTGTTCATACACTATGACTACACTACAGGTAGGCTACATAAAATACCCTCTTGGTGACTACATTTCAGCTAAGTGTTATATTTATTCTACTTTGTTTTACTGTTTGTTCTCTGAAGGCTTTTTTTCGACACTAGAGACTAGAGACCAACCGAAAGTGATTTTCTGATTTCGGCCGAAACCGAAAGTTAAAAATGACTTTCGACCTAAAGAAACCGAAAGTTAAAAATGACTTTCGACCTAAAAAAGGCCGAAAGTTAAAAAATGACTTTCGGCCGAAACCGAAAGCTTAAAGAGACTTTCGGCCAAAAATGAAATCTGTAGATTTTTTTAAATTCGTTGACGCATACATTCTGCATACATCGAAAATGATTTGGGGGGGGGGGGGGGGTGAATTATCAATATTTACATTCCTTTTATAAAAATGAGATAATCGTGAATATTAATAAATAAAACCCGCGGGCCATTTGGTACCCGCAAGACGATATTTTGTTGACCGCTACATGACAGCAAAGTTTAGTGTTAGTGCGGCAGATGCGTTTCCCCCATTCTCATACTGTAACGTGACTCTCCGCGACGGTTTCAGACGAATCTCACCTACTACTCTAATTCTGATTTTTATATATTTGCATGGTTATTATAATGGTAAGAACCGTTTATAAATCGGACTAAAAGTTTTTATTTATAGCTTTTTATGAGACAAACATGGCAAGAGTGCAGCTTTGAGAAAAAGTTTTAAAAAGTAATTTGGCGGGTAATGCACAACCATAATTCGTAGCACTCTGATACAGTTTCAAAGGATCCATATTAAAATTGCCGCTAGTTTTTACGAGTGAGGGAAATTCCAAACATGTCAGCTTGGTCACTTTCAAAATCTTCTTCTTCTCATGCCTTTTTACCCAGTCTGGGGCATAGACCATCCACAAGAATTCTCCATTCATCACGGTCATGTGCTTTCCTTTCCAGGTGTATCCCGTATTTTGCGTGTCTGACTCAAGCTCGCGTCTCCATGTATTTGGTCTTCCTCTCATTCTCTTTCCCTGTGGATGCCATGTTAGGAATTGTCTGGTGGTGCTATCTGGGGGCTTTCGGAGAGTATGTCCTATCGATCTCCATCTTTTCTTTTATATGTCTTCGTCGATGGGCACCTGGTGAGTCCTTTCTAGTAGATATTTGTTGGTGATATTATTTGGCCATTTGATGTTCAGGATCGTTCTAAGGCATGTGTTTATGAAGGTCTGTTCTTTCTGCGTAATGCTCGTCGTTGTTTTACAAGTTTCTGCTCCATATAATAGGACTGTCTTTCAAAATAGGGTTAGTTAATAGGACTTTACTGCGATAAAAAGTAAAAATTCATTCTACCTACTAAAGCTGCTTCCTTCGCATCAATATAAATATGACCTGCTTCTACCTACTGCTTGACACGTTTTAGCATTTTAGGCCTTCATGGAAAAGGGGCCGTCCATAAAGTACGTCACGCTCCAGGGGGGGGGGGTGTAAGAAAGTGTGACAAGAGGGGAGTCAGGTCATGTGTGACGTCACCTATTTTTAAATTTTATTTCTAATTTATTTTTATTTATTTTTTAGTAGAATTTAGTAGCTTTAAAATAATTTTCAAAAATATAGTGTAACATTTGAATTAGTTTTATGTCAAAATACCATGAAATGCGTATCTCCTGAATGTGTTGTTCACTATTCCTCTCGCTAGGAGCTCTAGTATGCTGTTGCAAAGCCTTGCTATGTGTATAGCCTTGCCGAGATCAACAGGAGTATTCAAAGTACAGCTATATGATCTTTACTGTCCATCTTTGCAGACCAGCTTACTTGATCGAATTTGCAAAGTATGTCACTTATAATTTGCCTCACAAACAATGTCAAAGAAACATGCAGAACAACACAGAGCTCGGGCTCGGGAGAATGTTCCAACCCAAACGGTTCCAGAATCAACTCAGATAAAACGCATCAGTCCTTTGAGAATCGCTGCTAGAAGGCAAAGAGAACTCATGGCAGTTATTGCCAGAAGAGAAAATGCACATTCAGAGGATGTTGAGTGGCTAGATGAGGATGAAGTTGATCTGTCTGCAATTATCCTTCCAGGAAATGATGATGGTGAAAGATTGATGCCAGTCGTAACTATGGATTTCACTTCACCATGGATGGATGATGTCCAGTGAATATTTTTTTTAATTAAACATTATTCACAGACCCATAATAAACAGATTCAATATAGCACAAGAGTTTGTCACATAATTTGTCAATCTAGTCTTTTTTTTAGTCAAATTGTTTTGTTTCCTTTTATTATTTAATTACTGAGTGAAGTCAAGTTTCACTAATTTACTTCTTATCCTGTGTAAAAAGATTGCATAATCGGAAATTATCTTAAACTTGACCTCACCTTTTGTAAATGAAAAAGCAGCAGATAAATGATGTCTATTATAAAACTGTTTAGTCTAATTTTTGCAATTTATGTTTTCAAATTCAATCTAGATAGAGTTACTGCTTCAATAAATAACTGTGACAACTGTTGACAATTAACTATTTTACTATTAAAGTAATTTTAATAATGGGATAGTTCTTTTAGTTGGAAATTTTATATTTTAATACATTTTAATAGTGAAGTGTGTTTGAGATTACATTTTAATTAGGTGTTAATTTTTAAAAAAAATTTTGTTCGAAAGTGTGACGTACTTTGGGGGGGGGGGGGGGAAAAATTTTTAAAAAATAGGGTGACGGACTTTAGGGAGGGCCCCAAAGGGTGGGGGGGTTGTTCCTGTATTAACTTTTATTAACTGATCCCCAATGGCCCAAGGAATTGGTTTTTCTTGTTGACATTACACAGGAGCTGAATGTACTCAACAAGAAGTTACAAGACCAGGGGTAGTTTGTCAGTGTTGCCTATGACAATGTCATGGCATTCTGCACAAAACTTGTGTTATGGTTCTTAGAGAAACCTCTGCCATTTCCCAACATGCAAAGTACGCATGGACTCGGGCACACCCTTCAGTAGTAGCTTAGTAGTAAGTATGATGATGCAATTGCAAATCTACAGAAAGAATTTGGTCTAATTTTTTTTTGAGTTCAAAACACAGACAGCCACTTTTCAGCTTTTTGCTGACCCTTTCTCCTTTAATGTGCAAAAGGCCCCACGCAGGTTGCTGAAAGGAAAAGAGACAAGCATAGACATTTTATTGCATTGCCCTCCACCTTCCTTGTGATTTCAAGATTGTTCAGGCGGATCGTATTACTTTTTTGGAGTACCTATCTGCGTGAAAAGCTCTTTTCCACTATGCACTTTAACAAGTCAAAGCTCAGGGCCAATCTTACTGTTGAGGATCTTCAAGCTATACTGAGGGTCTCAGTTGCTTCCTCACTCCAGTCAAATTTTCTCAGCTGTGTAAGAAGAAGCGCTGCCCGATCTCTGGCAACAGTGAGTCGATGGAAGAAAAAGAACCCTATTTGTTATTTATAAAGGTTGAGCAGATTGTAACAGTTGTACTTTAATGAATTTGTAATCGCTTTTTTGTGGAATACTTGATGCGTCCCAGTCTTAATCAGACTCTAC